CTATCTATCTATCTATCTATCTATCTATCTATCTATCTATCTATCTAACCTCATCTATCTTATCTCTCATCTATCTGTCTATCTAATCTCTCTGTCTCATCTATGTGTGTTTGTATGCAGTAAAGGGGTCTGCTAAAATGTTCATATCTGCAGAGAAAGTTGCTGATGTCCTGATCCGACCCCTTTTCATATCATGATTAATTTACTCAGTGGAGAGAGTAATGCCACCTCTGTCATTCCTCTTGAAAGTCAAATATTTATCTCATCTCATGAGAACAATTATTCATGATGTGATGTTAGTGGATGTATTCTCAGTTATATTCAGTTTTTTTTTTCCCCTGGAGAGTTGTCACTCAGTATGGAGCTAGTAAACAAACCCAAGTCAGATTAAATTGCAAATGTGTTTTAATCCAGTTCCCAAGAAGAAAAAATGATAAACTCAAGGTTTTTGGATACATCTTCATAAACAGTTATGTCTATGTTTGCTTGTTTGTATTTGTGGTCTTCCTAGTGGTGTGTTGACGGTCAGTGTGTGGCAGCAGAATATCATCCTGAGAGCGTCCAGGGCGGCTGGGCGCTGTGGAGCGAGTGGTCAGCGTGTTCAAGAACATGTGGGGCCGGTGTCCAGAGGGCTGAACGAGACTGTGACAACCCAGTGTGAGTTTCACTGTTTTCATTATCGCTATAAAATTGCAAATTAAGAAGTAAAAATAAGAAAACCAGTTAATACATAATAGCTGTGATGTGTATTAAAACCTTTGAAATGTGTATTTGCACTTTTTGTTTTCAGTAAAACTGTCAGTTTGAGGAAAAAGGGTAGAATAACCCCTTTTAAAAGTAAAAAAACAACTTTTTTTTTCATTTCCATGGGATGACCATGATTAATTACAGCTGCCGTTATAGCCCTTCATTTTTTGGAAAGTTTCTTTACTGAAAACTGCCCTCTTTCGTGGTATGCTTGTCATTTCTTTGTGCAATAACAAAAATACAACAAATAGAAAATATTTAGCTATATTTATTTATTTCTGTGGTAGTTTCCAGTCAAACGTCAACATGGGATAGAAATATAGTTGACAGCCTCCTAAAGATTAAGCCGACTAAATTTAAAGTTTTTCTCCCACACAGAGTTTATAAGCTTTTATATGGGATATTATGTATAAAATCTGTCAGTAAGATTCCTGTTAGATAACAACAGAGACAGGAAAGTGACTCTGTTAGTGGTAGAAGTTGAACTTCCTGGTTGAGGAACAGTTTTGTATGTTTTCTTGCAAAAGAAATGGTTAGATAATCATTTGTTCTACAGATTATACATATTAGCACTCATCCTCAGCATGTACATTACTTGGCATTTAATGGCGCTTTTGTGTATATAAATTGTGGCTCGCTGTTTGAAATTTGTAGGGGAGTTGTTTCTTTTTTCTCTTTTTTTTTCTTCTAATGAGCCTGTAAGTCATTCCTATGAATGCAGAATAGAAAACACTGTTCCCCACAGCCGTAGTTTCACTTGATTTAAGGCTGTCACCAAAGTCATTCAAATCCTGGAGACCATAACAACCAACCAAAAGTTCAAAAAGACCACAAATGAATTTCAGTTGCATCAAAAATGAACGGCAGGCCTGTGGGTTTCTCCCTCCCATGAGTCGGAGGAACAATAAGGAAGCTGTGTGCAGTCAGGGTGATCTTCGCTCGCTCACCTTGAGCTGCTGACAACAGAAGCCGAGGCTTTTTGACGCAAACGTGTTCTTCTGTTGTCCTTGGACATTTTTTCCACACCTTTCCAGTCTTCATTCTTAGGTGTTACAAAATATTGTTGCTCATGCGTCCTAACTGAGAGGTCGAATGAGGTTCATTTTTCTATAAGGTGCAGATTTAGCTGTTTTACATCATTACTAAAGGAGCATACTGACAGTAGTAGAAAAATAAGGTGTTTTTCTTTTTACCATCCCAAAAACTAAGAAATGAACAAAAATATGTATTGTTCTCCAATAAGTCTGGTTCATTATAAAGCAGCCACAGGCTATTTTTTAGGTCATCCTCATTCTTACTGAGTCTTGAAGTCCATATCCATATAATTCTTTTTTTTTTTTGTGGATAGTTTAGAAACTGGTGATCTCCTCACCGTCCTCCACAATGACTAGGAAGCCCAGGAAGGAAACGATTGGTCACACAAACACGGTCACACATCACAACATGAATGCGATGAATTCCACACGTCAGATTTTCTGGTAATACATTTTTACCACGATTCAGCACAAGTCAGGTATAGCTCCATACTGTACATACCCTAAAGCCAGTACAGGAAATTAAAGCTGGGGATGAAGTCAACTCACTTTATGTAAATAGAGTCGGGCAGTTTTTTTTTATTGGGAAGAAAGAGCCATTTTCATGTTTGTTCATTTTATGCTTTGAAAAATGCAGCATAAGTATGGAAATGAGTTCATTTCGGAGAACTTCTCACAGTGCTTATTCAGGTACTAAACAAGCCTTGCAAAGTAATGCGGAATTACTACTCCTGGGGAATTTTCCATTTACTGTTTTTATGCACAAAAAAAACATGGGATAAAACAGTTTTAGAAGGTCAGTGTTGAAAATAATGTCTTTTCTGTAGATGCAAAAAATAGGGAGTTGAGGAGACCCCATGAGGTAAAGAACTTTCAACCATATTCAGCCACACTCAGAGGTGTGAACCTCTTCAACTCCAGCTGCTCAATACTCCACAGAATCCATTTCAGATGTGAATAATAATGCCTTTTTATTGAATTGTCTAATAAGGGTTTTTCAAGGTTTTTTATTAAAATGGAAAGGAGTATCTATTAAAGAACTGATATATCTTGGTGCTAGAGGGTGCTCAACCGCCCCCCCCTTCCTGCAACCCCTCCACACAAATTAGTGGCCATGAATACTCAGTGAGTGTAACTTTATGATAATAACTGACAATTCCCATTTAAAGTCGCTATAATCAACTGTGTCCTGTGCTAGAGGGAACTTTAAAGGAATCATTGGGCCGCTTTTCCTGAGCATTTAGATACTTTGGTCTGCTAGAATAATCTAATTTTTCCTAAAAGTCCTCATAACTGAGTGAAATGACCTGGAAGTGTGTGTGTGTGTGTGTGTGTGTGTGTGTAGCAGCTAAGATAAGAGCTGTGTGAATTCTCCAAATGCTCCAGTGCTTTCCAAATAATCTCCTTTAAAAAGGATACTCTGAACCATCTTTTATTGGACAAATCTAATCTCATCTTGCTCTTTTTTGCCCGTGCAAATGGTTTAGATCCTGCTTATTTGATTTTTTTCATGTTAACCTTCTCTAAAAAATGGAAACATACGGAACATGAGCATAAATGACTGTTTCTACAATATTAGCTTTCGATGATTTGTATGTACCTTTTTAGTTATAAACTTTAATGATAAAGTAATACTAAGATGTAAGGTGGTGCTAAAAAGCAAAAAAGAAAAGTTTTTGGAGGGTGAAACATTTTTTTTCCGGAAGAACAAATGAGCATTTGACTGTAAATAAAGAGGTCCCCAGTTCAACTTTCAGAGCCCCCCTACTTTGTAAGTTGCTTTGGATAAAAGCGTCTGATAAATGCATAAACATAAACACATAATTACTAAAGGGAAAGTAAATGGTGTTGATGCATTTGTTAATTACTGCAGATTTTCAAATAGTTATGTTGTACAGACAAGACTTGCCACCGACTTACAGGTCTGAGTGAAAATATAAAAAAAGCAGTGATTTTATCTTTTTATCATTTCTTTCCGTGCCTTTAAGCTGCAAGAAGTTGGTTATCCGCTGAGAATAACAATGAGCGAAAAATTAGCTTTAATGGCTTTGACTGAAAAACAAGAAGCCGAAAAACAAACAAAAACAAGACCAAAAAGTTCTAAAAATCTACAAGTTCAAAGACTTCTGATGATGATTTCAAAAAGACAATACGGCTAATCAGGGTAAAGATAACCAGGAGCAATCAGCTTTGTTTGTTTGTTAATGAATTGCACTCGAGTGCTGCTTGAATTTTGGTCCAGCAGCTGAATCAATGGCCCTCTGGATAAGGTTTACCGAAAAAGTACACAATGAGAGCCAAAAAAGTTTCAGAAAAACAACAGCAAGGCCCGAACTGTTGTTTAATATTTTTAATTTCCTCCACCTCAGTGAGCGTTTTTGATGGTTTGAGGTGGAATCGTAGGAAATGGAAAATAATGTTTTATCCTACGGGGAAATTATTACGCCGCAATGATTTTCTTTTCCATTATCCGTCGTAAATTTCCATTAGGCGTGATTATTGCTGCGGGCTGGGATGACCCTTACTGCACAGTTCTGTGTAGCAGCAGAGTCCCAACTCTGTTGTGAGCTGAAGAAGCCTCTTTTAGAAGATTTTGTTCTTTAGACTGCGTTCGGTTTTGTCCGTTATGTTGACCGTCTTTTGCCGCGATCTTCTCTGGACGTCGGCCTCGGGGGGTCTCAGTCCCAGACCTCTCTCTCTTATTTTTATTTTTCTGGTTTATGGTTTTTATCCTTCCTGCCCAGCATACAGTTGCAAAACAGATTGGATTCCCCCTCCACACTTTAAAAAGACGTTTAGAAATAGTCCGCTCTATCTCTTCCCTTTAACAGCCTCAGTGTAACAGTTCCAGTTCCCCTTCACAGAAATGTGTTCAGGATTACAGCCTCTGTTGATAACATAAACGGCAACATTTCTGCCTTTGCCTTTGTCGATACCTTGATGTCTCAGTTCATCTTTATCTCCTGGAAACCCAGAAGGAACCCACTGATGCTCATAAATAAGGAGCTGGAAATCTGGTCCTGATGTCAGGTGAAGAGACTGGGAGAAGTCAGTTATTTGATCAGTATTAAAAGTACAGTACAGAAGTTTGAGCAGTTTTCAGATTAATCAACTAGCCTGCTTTTAGGTTGATAATACAGCTTGCATTATCAAAAATACGAAGAGTTTTCCACAGTGAGAATAAAAGGAAATGTAAATTCTACATGTTAAATTTGGATAAGTTAAAGGAAATATGGTTTAAAAAATGAGGAAATGCTTACATTTTCCATATTAAATGGAGAAGATTATTAGTATTTTCTTTGATTTCACTTATTATTTGTGTATATATATATATATATACACATACACAACGAGGAAATGCTTAAATGGTTCATGTTGAATTGAGAAGATTATTAGTATTTTCTTTGATTTGACTTATTGTTTGTTTATATATATGTACTATATATATATATACACATTACACAATGTGCAGGCATTCCAGTCTAGTATGTATATTCAAATGTTCCTATAGCACTAAATCTGTTCTTCTCTGCTTCCATAATGCTGATTTCATTTCAAAGCCCTAAATTAACCTTCGTAACTCCCAGTCCTAAATACAGAGGGAGGTACTGCCTGGGAGAGAGACAGAGGTACAGGATGTGCGGCCATGCTCCTTGTCCCAGGGACCGGCCCTCCTTCAGAGACCTCCAGTGCGGTCACTTCAACAGCCTGCCTTACAAGGGCCACTTCTACAAGTGGGAGGCGGTCGTCAACAAAGGTGAGCTCCTTCCTGCCTCCGTTCCTTTGGCTTTCTGCTCCGATGTTATTAAACCTCCATCTCTCCACATCTCAGTAAACCCCTGTGAGCTCCACTGCCGTCCCCTGAACGAGCATTTCTCTGAAAAGATGCGAGACGCGGCCGCCGACGGGACGCCGTGTTACGAGGCCGGTAAAAGCAGAGACGTGTGCATCAATGGCATCTGTCAGGTATCAGAATGGCTCTCGCTGGGCATTTTCCAGCCTCCGCACTTTTCCTGAATGGTCCCACAACTTCTCCTCCAGGGGTCGGACCATTAGCCTGTTTCCTGTTCTCATGTGATTAAAAATCTCGGTGTAAAATTCGACTCCAGCTTAAAGTTCGACCAACTGATTAATGCGGTCGTGAAGGCAAGCTTTTTTTTTAGCTTCGCCTTTTTGCTTGCCTTTATTAGCTCCCATTTGGACTATTGTAATGCTCTGTACTTTGGACTAAGTCGAACATCCCTCCATCGCCTTCAGCTAGTACAGTTCCTTACTGACACCCGTAGACACGACCACATCACACATGTCCTCCACTCCCTCCACTGGCTCCCGATACAGTACAGAATTAAATTAAAAATGCTCTTGTTTGTCTTTCGAGCAGTTAACTCATTGACTGCCAGCCATTTTTAGAACAGAGATTCGCTCACTGCCAGAGTTTTTGAGCATTTTGACTGATTTTTCAAGAGCCACAGAATAGTTTGTGCTATGACTATGTAAACACCGAACACACCAAAAGAAAGAGTAGACTCTCTTCTTTCATCAGGAAAAAAAAATGGTTTCTAACTTATTCCGTTCTTCTTCGACGTGCGTCTCACCGGCGCCATTTCTCGCATAGCGAACCATTGCGTTTGTTTTTATTTGCCTACAATCTATGCTCATCTCCCATCAAAAGTGGCACAGCTACTTAGAGGGTAAATTTGTTAGTACATACTCTGTCTGGAAGCCGATATTTATGGAAAAACTTTAGCCGATCGTTCCCCAAGCCACTCGCATTGAAAAAAATAAAAGACGTCTATAGACGTCTTTGGCAGCCAATGAGTTAATGGCCTTACGCCTTTGTATATAAGTGAAATTCTGAGGTTTCACCAGCCCAGCGGACCACTTCGGTCTGCTGGTCAACATCTGCTGGAGGTCCCACGGTCCAGGTGCAAGCATAGGGGTGACCGCTGTTTTGCAGTGGCAGGTCCTAAACTGTGGAAAAACTCTCTGCCCACTGAGTTACGTTCAATAACTGACCTGCCACTGTTCAAAGCTCAACTTAAAACGTATTTGTTCAGGATGGCTTTTTGCACGTAGGGTCTCTGTACACTGGGTTCTGTCACCGATGTGTTTGTCTTTGTGTATTTCGATAGTTTGATCAGTTTTTCTTCTGTAAAGCACTTTGATCAGCTCCGGTTGTTGTAAAGTGCTATACTGTATACAGGACTGTCTCAGAAAATTAGAAAATTGTGATAAAGTTCATTATTTTCTGTAATGCAATTGAAAAACATGAAATGTCATACATTCTGGATTCATTACAAATCAACTGAAATATCGCAAGCCTTTTATTGTTTTGATATCGCTGATTATGGCTTACAGCTTAAGAAACCCAAATATCCTATCTCAAAATATTAGAATATCGGATTTTTGAGTTTTCTTCAGCTGTACGCCATAATCAGTTATATTAAAACAATAAAAGGCTTGCGATATTTCAGTTGATTTGTAATGAATCCAGAATGTGTGACATTTCATGATTTTTAAATGCATTACAGAAAATAAAGAACTTCATCACAATATTCTAATTTCCTGAGACAGTCCTGTAAATAACCATTGATTGATTGATTGATTGATTGTTCCGATTCATCGCCAGTCGCATAGTCCTTCAAGTTAACCCTGGTCTTGTTTTCTCTACGGGTTGTGTTGTACATTTGACATTCTGCCTGACAATGAGCATGTTGATGGAAAAACGTGGTGCCGTTATCTCTCCAGATAGGAGAGAGCAGAGGCAGTCCGCTATCACCTTAGGCTAAAATGCCAGTGGCTGATTCAGACGCTGTTTGTGGACCGAGTGGACAGCCGTCACAGACCGGGGGCTCTGCCTTTATGACATTTTGTGACATTTTTTGTCAGGCCCGCCCCTCTGTCCCTTGGTCTTACCTGCCCAGTTTGTGTGTGTTGAAACAGTCATTGTAAAATTAAAGGCCAAATCTGAGCCGCGACTCCCCGTCTCCCCACATGTTTTCTATATTTGAACTGGTCAGCACGTGTTTGAAGGAAGAAGAAGTTTGCCTTCATGTAGGCTACAACAAATATTTCTCTTTGTGATTCACCTCTGAAAAATAGCTTTTTAATTTAAGTTCTTCATGAGCTTTTTCTTTTTAGTTCTCACTTTAAGTTGCTTTTCGAAAGGACTGTTTGGTCCTTGTCTCTAATTTCTCACTAGTTACATTGCAGATTTAAACTATAAAAATAAAAATAATTTCCCTCTGGGACTATTAACCCTTTTAAGCCTGATCCAAGAATAAAACAAAACAGAAAATTACTTTGTTTGGTTTTAAGTCTTTATTTGGCCTTTTAACAAAATATGTAAAAAGAAAAAACAAAAATGATTTTTTTATATTAATAATTTATTACTATGCGATGTGTCAAGATTATTTTTTGTGTAGTCTTCTTCCCCCCTTTATCAGGTGTATCTGATTGTGTACAATAGGATTTTGAGCAAAGTTTTTACCATTAAATTATGCAAAAGGAGTCACTTCAGAAACCGTATGAATCAAATATGATACATTTGGCATTACAGGGTTAACGTATTTCTGATTCTGATTCTGATTTTGATTAAAACAAATGACAGTAAACTCAAGGTTTGGATGCACTGTTACAAGTTTGTGTAAGATTAACTCTTTGTGGATGGTGCCTTTATCTTATATGTGCTTCAGGGCACAAACGTCAGCGTCTTACTTGTTTTGGAGAGTTGTGACTCTGGACTTTTGTGGCTTTTTGTGGCGTGTGTTTTTCAGAATGTTGGCTGTGATTATGTGATCGACTCCAAAGCCAAAGAGGATCGCTGTGGAGTCTGCAATGGAAACAGCTCCACCTGCACCACCGTGAGGAGGACATTCGAGGAGAGTGAAGGCCTTGGTATGTTTAGTAATTGTGTTTTAGAATATGGTCTTTTGACAAAGGCTTTTGGAGCTGCAAATATACACCAGCTTATAAAAGTTATTAACTTGATTTTAGTCATAAAAGCAGATTGTATCAGAAAGGTACAAATTAGGGAAATACGTGTGAATTAAGGTTACTGCAGTTTAGTACAAAACACTAAAAAAAGCATAGATGGGTTTTACACAAAATCTGTCCATTATTATATGAGATTCATTGTCTTTTTTTAATTAGATCTGCCATTTATAAGAAGGAAGAAGGAATTCAAACTTCAAACTCAATTCTTAGAGTGAATTCTGACTGATATTTTCTTCTCACTTTTCTTTCATGTCTGAAACGTAATCTTCCGTTAAGATGATGCCTGTTTTTTTGTTTTGCGTCACTCGTTTAGCTAATTTGTGACATGTTTCAGGCTACGTGGACATCGGACTGATCCCGGAGGGAGCCTGGGACATCCTGATCGAGGAGGTGGCCGCGGCCGGGAACTTCTTGGCGCTACGAAGCGACAACCCCAGCAAGTATTTCCTGAACGGAGGCTGGACCATTCAGTGGAACGGCGAATACAAGGCGGCGGGGGCCGTGTTCACCTACGAGAGGAGGGGCCAGCTGGAAAACCTGACGTCCCCGGGGCCCACCATGGAACCCGTGTGGATTCAGGTATGTCAGAATGAGTGTTTTTCCTTTGTGATGCCCACCAATGCACTTCATCAGCAGAATGAAGTTCCTTCTGTCAGCCCAGATAAGCATCTACTCACACGGTAAAGAAAAGGAAATATCAGTCATAACAAACACATTTTTGCTTGCTCAACAAGATGAAGTCGCATAAAAGAGCCCGACTAAAATCCCCCTCTAAGATGAAAAGGAAAAGATTTCCAAAAGACGTAAAACAATCTTTCACGAAAGATTAATTCGTCTTTGAACATTTTTGGCTCCCCGGTCTGTTTGCGTTTGCCTTTTTGGTTAAAGTCAGTGTAAAACATTTAGCTCGTGCTCTTTGAGATAGTTTGTGTTGAGTATTTTGTTGTGCTCAGGGTCATTCTTGGCTGCATAAACATTAGTCTTTCATACTCGGCTTCACACGATGGAGCTCAGCTCAACAAAAACCCAAACAGGATAGACTTGTTCCCCTAATTCATTTTTGTTAAAACAGAATATTTATCTCTGTCCTCAAAACCATTTCTTTTCACTTCTCTGGACCACAGGACATGTTTCCAAAAACAAAATAAATCATCTGCAAACTTCATACCCTCAGTTTATATAGTGAGGATGCCATAATGCTCGTCTTCATGCTTCTGTGGCCGGGATAATTGTCCAGTAGAACAGAGAACATCTGCTCCAGACTCCTGCTAAATCCTGGAAAAGCTTTTTTTTTTTTCAGTGAAGCAAGGCTTTTAATTTGGCTTTCTGGCAATAGCAGTGTACACGCAGTAGTTCTCTCGGAAAGTTTCTGCTCCTTGACACCTCGACTCAAACGCCGCCGTTCTCGTTAGCTTCCATTTTTAATTACATTACAAGCGAGATAAATGTCGAGCTGAAACCGCCTCGCTATCGTCTTCCTACTTCGGGAAGCTGCTGATTAAAGGCTTGAGAAAGTCTCAGTGTTGGAGCAGTGAATTATGCATCACCTGAGAGTTATCTGTCAGCTCCAAAAGTAAAGAAATTGCTTTCTGATTTGTGCCGGCAATTCTACC